ACATGGCTTTTGTTGTATGGTAAGTTCTGGCACGGAGGCCTTCTCCAAAAGTGTACCCACATCTGACAAATGTTCCTCAGCAACACGGGGACTTCTCTCCACTCTGCAGATAGTCGATACATTTCTTTCTGCCACGACTAGCGTTTCAACAGTTTTGCCTTACTCTCCATGTACATAATTTATTTTCAAGGTCACCTCTTCTCTTGTGCGCCTTCACCATGAGTCATAAATATTATCACAGTCATTTTAAAGCTGGAGAAACTTCTCTCCCAACCAAAAGCTCCTCTGAAAAGTAAAATAATAATGGACTGGATTTATACTGAACATGATGTCATTTTAGTTGCATTTGGGTAGGCAACATTCTGAATACAATTCCACATTGGCAGCATTGAATTACTCTCCATCATAATATTCATTGGAAAATAAATATCTTTCCTAGGCCATTTACATTGGCTGAATATGGATAGAGGAATTGCATGTAACCCTTGCACAACGCTGAAGCTCCCGTACCTGCCCAGAAGGCAAACTAGTCTCCAAAGCATGCTTTGACCCTCCACCATGCTTCACAGTAGGCAAGTTTGTTCTTTTCCCAGCATATGCCTTGTTCTTTACCCCTCCTCCAAACTATAGCGTTAATCCATTGAGCCCAAACAGTTCCAGGACAGCCAGTGTCAAGCACAAATCATTTGACATTGTGTAATGATTATTATACAGTATTTATATAGCGCCAAAAGGTTGCTCAGTGCTGTACATTATAGTGGGGATTTATGATTAGTGTAATGAAAGTTTACTTTTATATAAAGATGAACATACCAAAATGTTCAATCTCCGGTCTGACCCAGACTGATTCACATGTACACAGAAAATTGTACATTTGGGCTATTCGGCAAATTTGTCCAATCTGTTTTTTTCTCTTTTAACCATTTACCGTATATTTATGTATTTTATTTTATTACAGGTACTTATATAGCACTGTCCATTTCAATGTATGATAATGTAACATATATTTTCTTATTTTATTTAGGTGAAGCACTCCAGTACATACCTAAATTGCAAATTCTTGATTTGTCATGGAACAATAACTTAGGCGGGACCCTGTCCAGACTATCACAGAATTTAGTAGATAATGGAGAATTAAAGAGTTTGAGTTTAACAGAGTGTAGCCTTACAGCAGAAGATATTCAATCATTAGGTAAGAAAAGTAATTTCTATGTTGACATGGACAGTAGAGTGCAGTGGCGGACTGACCATTTGGAAACTTGGGCACTGCCTGAGGGCCCGCGGTCAGTAGGGGGCCCATGAGATGCCCCTGGTACTTTTTTCATAGGCTTTCTTGACTTTGGGCAATGACACAGGGGCCCCATGATCCCCTATTGCCCGGGGGCCCCATGAGTTGTCAGTCTGCCCCTGGTAGAGTGTGCGACTGGTTTCATTATGAATCAAGATACAGATGAAATTTGCATGTTTTTGAGATTCAGATATATTCGAATCTCCAAATCACGATAGTAACACATTTTAACTAATTAGAAATCGTAACAAAAACGATTTAATTTGTTTCATAGTTTTGGATGACATGATGCAATAGTTTGAGCTTTTTGCTAATGTTTAAAGCATCCAAAATAAAATAACAAAACGAATGATCCTAATTGATTCAGATACATTTGTTTTTTATTCTAGCGAGTGTAGCATGAATATTCTAATAAGATTCTTTATGTATTGGGGTTGATTTGAGACCATTTGTTTAATTTGTATGTGCATGGCACAACAAACAAATTCAGTTAGGAATGAAGAAATTAATTCAACTTAATATAACGAATATGTACCAATTTAAGTACATTAAAATGAATATAGCCAATCTTCCAAAATAACAAAAGAATAACAGAACGTCCGAAAATACGAATCGATTCAGAACAACGAATATATACTCTCCTGAAGTAAGGAATCATTCTAAAAATGTATTGTTCTAACAGAACGATTATGACAAAACAAGGTATGAAACTGAAATGAAACTAATTTTTCCATTGTGCCCATCTTTAATGTACAGTGAATTACTGTTGCTGAAACTGTAAAAGGTAACCTATAATGCTTCTGTTTCGTTATTATGGCCAGGAATGTTTATTTTTTTGTCAGGAAAATATGAAATATTGAATATTAACGAAATCACACATTTTTCCGTGGTGCACATCTGTATTGTACAGTATATCACTGTTGCAGAAACCGTGAAATGTAACCTATAATGGTTTTGTTACTTTATTATGGTCAGGAATGTTTTTTATTTTTAATGTATTTGTCAGGAAAATATGAAATCTTGAATATTATTATTTCTTATTTTCTCTGAAGCCAGCCCATGGAGCTCTAGTGTCCATTTTGCATGGTTTCAAAAGAAGGTTTAGTGGTCTGTTTTTAAAAAAAAAAAAAAAAAAAAAAAAAAAAAAAAAAAGTTACAAAGCTCTGTAGCGCAAGCTAATGTTTTTAAACAGAGACCTGGAACGCATCCCTTGTCATTTTTAAGTTTAATCAAAACAAAACCTGCCACAAGGGAGACTGCTTCTACTGGAATAATAAGGAAAAATAGTAATACTCTGTCCTGCATTAAAGAGAGGTTCATATATTTAAAAAAAAAAAAAAAAAAAAAATAATAGAGATATATATATATATATATATATATATATATATAATCTCCCTTTAAGGTAGTGTACATCTTTATACACTGTAGTCATAAACGCACAGACATGTCCCAGAGGAGATAATGAAAACTGTCATCAGTAATGAAAAACCACTGCTGCCATAGTAAATCACATAAGTGACTCCAGGAATACTGACAAGAGCCATGCGCTGTGGAGTTTATAATCATATAAAAACACCTTTTATGGAGGTGTGCCTTTTAATAGAAGAACGGAACATAACAGGGTAAAATACAGTAAATGCACAAGCCTGTGGCTTTAAAGACGCCAGGTATCCTGAAGGATGGCCTGTCCGCTCAGAGCGGACGGGCCGTCCTTCAGGATACCTGGCGTCTTTAAAGCCACAGGCTTGTGCATTTACCATATTTTACCTTGTTATGCTCCATTCTTCTATTAAAGGCACACCTCCATAAAAGGTGTTTTTATATGATTATAAACGCCACAGCACGTGGCCCTTGTCAGTACATCTTTATACATATTTAACATCCATGAAGAAGGAGAAAGTTCTAGGATGTATCCCTACTAATCTCAGTCCGCACAAATTTTATCTTTTATATTTTAACTAAATCACACTGCAATGCTCATAGATGTCTGGGGGTCAGTTACTTTATCTCCCTGGCATTAACCCTGAGTGTTACTAGGGCTTCTACTTCAATGAAAAAATTGTTATCCTCAAGTATTGCTCAGGATAACTGTTTGGGTTTTTTTTTTTACCATTCAATTCTTGGCCCAAGTAATGCTTGGGATAATGCCAGGGAGGTGACACAACTGACCCCCAGAGCTTTATGGACATCATAGAGTTAAAACCAGGAGTCCAGTGACATTCAGGATGGTCAAGCACAGGAAAATCATCTGTTTATCAATCCCCCCTTTATTTGGTGCATTTGCATTGGGCTGGAACACTAGCACTGGATTGTTAATAGCTGGGAAAATTATTGTCAGGTCCAATAAACAGGAGTTCCAAGTGTTAAGGCCACAGTAGATTCAAGGTGTGACATAGTGACTTTGGTATGAAGTGAAACCCATCCATACAATGAAGCTTACACCCAGGGGTGCACTGACCATTTAGAAACTCCGGCACTGCCCAAGGGACCAGGGTCAGTAGGGGGCCCCCATGAGATGCCCCTGGTACCTTTTTCATAGGCTTTTTTGAGTTTGGGCAAGGTCACAGGGGCCCAATGATTCCTTATTGCCCGGAGGCCCCATGAGTTGTCAGTCCGCCCCTGCTTACACCCATTAGCTTTTCACACAATGATGATACAGGCCCCTGTGAAGTCACACACAACGTGATAAAAAACTGCTTTTTTTTTTATGAATTTTGTTCCCAAAAACTCAAATCAAAGCACTGAAAAAATGCAGCTGTCGGTATGTCAGAGAAAAACGTTTTGTGATTAGCTACAAAAGAAAACATGTAATGCATTGTACTTTTCTATTTTCAGCCCCTGTTGTTGGAAAAATGTCAAGGCTAGAAATTTTGGACCTTTCAGAGAACAAAGAAGTTGGAAGTAAAATAAAAAATCTTACTGAAGAACTCAAACACTGCCCTTGCTTGAGTGTGTTCAAACTGCGCTCTACTGGTTTGCATCGGGACAGTGTACAGTATCTGAGTGAGTTATTAATTCTTAGACTACATTACTGTGTCTCTTGGGGTTCTGTTAAAAACCCAACTCCACCTTTTTGTTATTCAAGTGTATGTAAAGCCGTATCAATAAGCTTCTGTTGTTTGCTACTATTTGTTCTATTGAATGTACCCTCAAAAGCACTTTGCACATAAGTGCAAAATAAAAAATACCCACTGATCCTGCAATACACTATATTGCCAAAAGTATTGGGACGCCTGCCTTCACACGCACATAAACTTTAATGGCATCCCAGTCTTAGTCCGTAGGGTTCAATATTGAGTTGGCCCACTCTTTGCAGCTATAACAGCTTCAACTCTTCTGGGAAGGCTGTCCACAAGGTTTAGGAGTGTGTCTATGGGAATGTTTGACCATTCTTCCAGAAACGCATTTGTGAGGTCAGGCACTAATGTTGGACGAGAAGACCTGGCTCGCAGTCTCTACTCTAATTCATCTCAAAGGTGTTCTATCGGGTTGAAGTCAAGACTCTGTGCAGGCCAGTCAAGTTCCTCCATCCCAAACTCGCTCATCCATATCTTTATGGACCTTGATTTGTGCACTTTTGCGCAGTCCTGTTGGAACAGGAAGGGGCCATCCCCAAACTGTTCCCACAAAGTTGGGAGCATGAAATTGTAAAAAATGTCTTGGTATGCTGATGCCTTAAGAGTTCCCTTCACTGGAACTAAGGGGCCAATGCAGTCCGACAAGTACCGTTCTCCTGGCAACCGCCAAACCCAGACACGCCCATCGCACTGCCAGACAGAGAAGCGTGATTGGTCACTCCAGAGAACACATTTCCACTGCTCCTAGAGTCCAGTGGCAGCGTGCTTTACACCACTACATCCAATGCTTTGCACATGCACTTGGTGATATAAGGCTTGGATGCAGCTGCTTGGCCATGGAAACCCATTCCATGAAGCTCTCTACGCACTGTTGTTGTGATAATCTGAAGACCACACAAAGTTTGGAGGTTTTTAGCGACTTCTCGACTGCGCGCACTGTGCGCTTCAGCATGGGCTGACCCTGCTGTGTTATTTTACATTGCCTACCACTTTGTGACTGAGTTGCTGTTGCTCCCCAGTTGCTTCCACTTTGTTATAATACCACTAACAGTTGACCGTGGAATATTTAGTAGCAAGGAAATTTCACGGATGTTCTTATTGCACAGGTGGCAACCTATCACGTTACCACGTTTGAATTCACTGAGCTCCTGAGAGCGACCCATTCATTCACAAATGTTTGTAGAAGCAGTCTGCATGCCTAGGTGCTTGAATTTATACATCTGTGGCCATGGAGGTGATTGGAACACCTGAATCCAATGATTTGGAGGGGTGGCCCAATACTTTTGGCAATATAGTGTATATGATTTTGGATCCATTTTTTGAAGGACCGTGATTTGGATGACAGGGAAATAACATGGTTTCCCATTGAGGGCATTCACATATATGCAGACCAGCTTCAGTGCATTTTTAAAAATGGTACCGTGTGAGTTTGGACCTGTGTGATCTATTTTTGAGGTAGAGTTAAATGGAACCGCATATGAAACACTACTATGTTCACATGTAATCTGATTCCCGTGCTTATTAAACAGGTTTATAATGAGAGAAATGGGGTGCATAGACCAAGTGTGTACAATCATCACCCGATCATCATGTGTGTCATCATTGTACACCAGACAATCTGGCTTCCTTCAAGGCTCTTGCTCACTAGATAGGAGAGACTCCATTGCCCCCCCCCCTTCCCCATCAGAGCCCCCCAATCCTCTGCCCCCCCCCCCCCATACACGCTCAGCCTGTATACAGGTCAGCTCTGATGGATGCTGACAGTTCTGGGAGCCCTGTTCCACGGTCTAGGAAGCAGTAATGTGTGACTTTGTATATAGGTCATGGAGCGATGGTGTTTGTGACCCTTGAACTGTGGGAGCCAGTGGGGTCGGAGGCAGGACATAAAAAGCTCTTCTGCAGCTGTCTGTCACCTTTCACATGCCGGCTGAAGCACACAGCGCCTCCTAATGCTCCATCCAATCACTAATGATTTATCTCTTCTCCTCCCTGCTCTGACAGCCAGCTGCTGTATACTCCTCCAAGACAAGTGTGTGACATTGGGGGAAGAGGGAGAGACATAGGGCTCCCGTCTACCAGGATACACAAGGACCCCTGTGTAAAGTTGCATTGGCATCCATCCTGCAACACTGTAAATTGCACTGAATCGACTCAAAGCTGATGACTGAATCAGACTCAAAAATTTCTGAAATTCACTGCTTATGTGTGAACCTAGGGTTAATTATGTGAACAATCATTAAGAATTGGTGAAAAAACACTATATGCATAAAAATTAAGTAATGAGATTTTTCCGTGCATAGAACATACTTGCTGTATTAGTGCTTGCTGAGGGCTGGACAGTAGTAGCAAGTACAGGTATTGGTAGGATAGTGCAAGACCTAGGGCACCCCTGGACACTCTGTGAAAAATGATGTGACCTGTTATGTGCACAATGGTGAATAGTGGTTGTCGCCACACAGCACTTATTGTGTACATGCATACATACCAGGGGCGGACTGACTATTCGAGCGCTCGGGCACTGCCCGAGGGCCCAGGGTCAGTAGGGGGCCCCATGAAATGCCCCAGGTACCCTTTTTTTATAGGCTTTTTTTTTTTTTTTGAGCGTGGGCAAGGACATAGGGGCTCCATGATCCCCTTATTGCCCGGGGGCCCATGAGTTGTCAGTCCACCCCTGATACATATATACAGTGCATACATATGCTTGTAATCACAAAATATGCTTTAAATACTGTCACATGCGAGAGAGTCTCTCAGATACATATAAACCTCAGCACCATATTTTTTAAAGTGCATGTCCAGCCAAAACTTTTTCTATGTCTTTTTAGAATGAGAGAAGTAAAGCCCTGCTTAGGTTTTTAGTGTCATCTGGGGCTCCATTAGAGAAATTTCTCCTCAAGTGTTTTACCAGACAGACAGTGAGGGGAACTCTTCCACAGAAACATAGATAGGCATTAAAATATTGCATTTTAGTAGAGTAAAGTTAAAACCCTTGTTAGATTTTAATTTTTGTGCAGATTTTTTATCACTTCCTGGCTGGTGGAACTGTTGTCTACAGGACAGGAAGTAAGGGGGAATTTCCCTAACTTACCAGCAAAAACCTAATTCCTCTTCCACTATCTAAACTAGGAAAAAGGTTATAGCTTGACATACACTTTAACCTGTTGCCTACCTGCCGCAGTGTATATACTGCGGCAGGGCGGCACCGCTGTGCTAGAGCACGTAATAAAACGGCATTTAGCAAAACCGGTACCTGCGCCACCAATCGCGGCAGTGGGTGTCCATCACCGGATCCTGGCGGGTCATTACCCGCTGGCTCCTGGCGATTAGTGGCACTCACTAACAGAGAGCACGGCTGTAGTGTTTACACTTCACCTCTGCTCCCTGTCAGCTCCTAACACACTGTCAGGGAGAGCAGAGATTAGCATTCCCCTGAAGTACACACCCCCCCCCCGCCCACTAGTAAAACACTCCCCTCACACAGTTAACCCTTTCATTGAATAAAAAGTTAACCCTTCCTCCCCAGTGCCATTAGTACAGTGTGTCAGTGTTTTTTTTTTTTTTTTTCACTGATCACTGTATCGGTGTCACTTTTGTAAACACTATAACTTTCACGTAAACCAATTAATTTACACGTATTAGGATTTTCTTTTAGCAAAGATACGTCACAGAATACATTTTGGCCGACATTTATGACAAAATTAGATTTTTACATTTTTTTACTGGACATGTTTTATAGCAAAAAGTCCAAAATATTGTTTTGTTTTTTTTTTCTCAAAATTGTCAGTTTTTTTTTTTTTATAGCGCAAAAAATTAACGCACAGGCGATCAAATACCACTGAAAGAAAGCTCAATTTGTGGGGAAAAAAAGGACGTAAATTTAATTTGGGTGCAGTGTTGCATGACCGCGCAATTATTAAAGTAACGCAGCGACGTAACACAAACCACTTCTGTAACCGCTTCCTGACCGCCCTATAGCAGAAATACTGCTACAGGGCGGCACAGGTGCGCAAAATCACACATATATATATATATACATACATATGATTTGCGCTCACGTGGTTTTCACGCCCCTCCCAGATGGCGGCAGATTGCCCGTCAGTACACCAGTCATCACATTTAATCCCTTGATTGCCATTAGTATAGCATCCTCAAAAATGCAGCGTTAACGGAATCAGCCCCGGCCCCTGCCAGCACCTGTGTTTTAGCCCCTACGCTTACCCCCCCCTTCTCCCCCAGCAAGTGCATTGTCAGTAGGTCCCTGTCACTTGATATATTACACACAAAACTGCAGTGTTCGCAGAATCAGGCCTGATCACTGTTAGCACTTGCCGGTAAATTTTGATGACTCTCATATGCAGCCTCTTAGATTGTAAGCTCCCAGGATCAGGCCCTTCTAACCCTCTTGTAGTGAACTGCATTGTTCTGTATTGTCTCCCGTTATATTGTAGCACTGAGCAAACCGTTGGCGCTATATAAATCCTGTATAATAATAATACCAGCACTGCAGTATGACTTGGCGAGTCCTATAAGTGTAGTACAAGCTGGTGCGGTGGCGAGCGCAAGTATTGTCCCGCAGCCACTAAGAGTTTGCACACAGGCCCGTAGAGCCCCTAGTATCCTTCCGGATGTACTTGCAAATCCTGATTGGCAGTCCACAAATTTTGCAGCACTTGTACTTCCCCGTTCACTGCCCAACCCGGAATTCAGGTGGAAATAGAAAATTTAAATACTTCCCTTGATTTTTGGAGCTGTTTTTCACGGAATATCTGTATGCGTTGATTGTGGATCAAAGCAATTTATATGCACAACAATTTATCGCCGCCATCCCAAATTCAAACCTTGCCAGACCACTCGCAGGAAACCCATTACGGTTTCCAAATTTACTTTTTTGGGGGGCCTATCCCTCAACATGGGCATTACTAAAATAAATGAATTCCAGTTGTATTGGTCCGCAGACCCAATTCATCATATGCCGTGTTCTCTGCTGCCATGGCCAGGCATACAGTTGTGTCCAAAATTATTCAACCCCCAATGCTGTAAAGGGGTTTAGGGACTATAGTGTACATTTGGAATTGTATTCAGAATCAAATCCTACAAGGACGTTGTAACTACCCAAATGCAACTAAAATGACATCAATTGTTTATGTAATACAGTAGTAAATGGTTCTTATGTGGTTTCTTCATTGCCACAATTATTCAACCCCTTAAAGACTACCACTCTGAAGAACAGAGGTTCATACAGGTGCTTTCCATCAGGTATTGAAAACACCTGTGGATGTCACCGAGCAGCAATCAAGCATAATAAGCACCAATTAGGCAGCTTTAAAATGACTGTGATACTCAGCTCCTTCTAGACATTTACTGGTGTGGTTACAAACATGGTGAAGGCAAGAGAATGGTCCAGGAAGACAAGAGAAGAGGTGATTTCTCTTCACAGGAAGGGCAATGGCTATAAGAAGATTGCAAAGATGTTAAACATACCAAGAGACACCTTAGGAAGCATCATTCGCAAATTCAAGGCAAAGGGCACTGTTGAAACGCTACCTGGTCGTGGCAGAAAGAAGATGCTGACTTCGACTGCTGTGCGCTACCTGAAGCGTAGAGTGGAGAGAAGTCCCCGTGTGACTGCTGAGGAACTGAGAAAAGATTTGTCAGATGTGGGTACAGAAGTTTCAGCCCAGACAATAAGACGCACACTGCGTAATGAAGGCCTCCGTGCCAGAACTCCCAGGCGTACCCCCTTGCTGTCTCCAAAGAATAAGAAGAGTCGACTGCAGTATGCCAAAAGCCATGTGGACAAACCACAAAAGTTGTGGGATAGTGTTCTGTGGACTGATGAAACAAAATTAGAACTGTTTGGGCCCATGGATCAACGCTATGTTTGGAGGAGGAAGAACAAGGCCTATGA